CTGTGGCTACAGTCTACAGTCAACGGGGCAATGGAGCTGAATGCCACCTGTCTACCGTGTAACTACATCAGGATCTGCTAAGCGTACAGAAGGATGGGGATATGCAGCATTGGTTTGCAGAGGTATTTTGATGGAGATAATATGGAAAGCAGGCAATGAGCAAGTTTTCAGAAATGTGAAGATGCCTATACAGCAGCAGTTAACAATGGTTAAAGGGGTAACGTTGCTTGTCTATCCAGGTGGACTGGAAACGATCCAGACAGAAGGCTCAGGGAAAGGGAAGGTATTGGTTTGTGAAAACTTGGACTTTGAAGATCGCTCTGGCGAGGATTAGCCCTGAAGATCAACTTTGGATAGCTCCTTGGTTATGCGACAAGGCCTGTGGAGAGAGGGATCGTTCTTAAGTCCCGGGCCTTCTTGGTTTCTCTCGATTTATATTGAGAGATTTGGTTCAATAGGACAGAACCTCAGAATCAGGAATTTTGGTGGGACAAATTTCAGAAACAACAACAACAACAACAACAACAACAACAACAACAACAACAACAACAAAATAAAAATAAAAAAATAAAATCAGAAACAGTAATATGGGTGAAAGGATATTGTAGCCTACCCCCCCGCCTTCAAATTCTATTTTAAAATAGGATAGGATAAGGGGAGGAGAGGAACAGTATTCCACTCAGAGGAGAACATTATAAGATATGCCTAATTTAGAGGCCAGCCCCTTTTTTGAAGAATTTTGGAGGTAATTTTGGTATGGGACACAGGACCCGATTTCCAGGAGCCTACAGCTGAGTAACGGCCCGAGCATGTTCTGTACCGGGTTTTATTGTCGGGTTGTTTTCCCGGGCCCCTGTCCCTGATTTGGAATGAAATTTGATAAGAAAGGAAAAAAAAAAAAAAAGTGGAATTTACATGTGGCACAACAGAGTGAGATCGTTTCCAGATTTCAGTTTTTCATAGAATTCAGTTTTCTTATCAAACAACCCCGAAGCAACAGGCACTGCCTAGAGACGCATCATCATATCCAAGGTTTATTCTCTAAATAAGGAACAAAAGAGCATCTCTTGGCCTGTCCTAGTGGTCACTTATTACAAAAGAGTTTTTTCTCTTTGAAAATCCTGGAAGTTCATCCGTACGATGACTGCGTGAAGTCGTTTCCATCAGATTACGGGCCTCAAAAGAAGAATCTCAAAATAGTTGAGTCTGCTTTTGAAGAGAGGCTACAGGGGCTTTTGAAGGTTCATATTGGAAACGAAAAGGGTTATGTTGCTCCATGGTATACACTTGTCACTGTAGATGAACAAGTACAGAGTTCCCATCGTACCCTGATCACATGATGCAACACTGTTCTGCAGCATTCTTGGACCCTTGTAATGGAAAAAGTACTTCATGGGGGCTTACCCCCAATACTTTTTTTTTTTTTTTTTTTTTTTTTTGAACCCACAATACTTTTCCCAGCCAATTTTCTCCAACGTGCACATCAATGTCAGGCGTGATGTGCTGCCCTTGTGCAGGCCTATCCGGCTTGCACGGTGGTTAGGTACTGGTGGTACTGGTGGTTTAACCGCGATGGTTAGGCCCCATACTGGTGGTACTGGTGGTTTAACCGCGGTGGGTAGGCCCCATAGTGGTAGTACATGGGTTTAACCGGGGTGGTTAGGCCCCATAGTGGTGGTACTGGTGGTTTAACAGTGGCGGTTAGGTACTGGGGGTTTAACCGCTGCAACTAACCGCAGTGGCTTTAGGCGCCGGACATGGGCAGCCTTGGTTGCGTTTTTCGCCCTTTGGAAGTTGTGGTGAGGGGCCCGCAGCCGATATATTGGAAAGGTATGTTGAGAGGTGTCCAGGAATTATGGGTTTCCAGAGGCACTCTCGAAACTCGTATTTCTCTGAGGCTGCAACAGGCCAAACAAAAATTCTTTTTAAAAGCTGTCTTCTCCTCATGCGGGGACAGCCATACATTTTTCTCTCACCTCACATATCTTTTAACTGGCGTTCTGCCATTTCATCATGGAACATATCTTTCTTTTCAGAACCTACACTACTCCTAAGGCTATACAGGGGACCCATGCAAGCATTTAAGCCACTAGTACCTTTCCCTGTCTGAAAAACAAATATTTGTAACTAACCGAGCATGGGTGGCTTAGGTCGCGTTTTCGCCCTTTGAAAGTTGTGGTGAGGGGCCCACAGCCGATATATGGGAAAGGTACTGGTGGATGAAACCTCTTAGCACCCACATTTTAGGGGGCTAAGGGGGGTAATCTGACTGGGATCGCAACCAGGCTATTCTTTTTGTCTTTGTCCGTTACAAACAAGAGCAACCCTCATGTATATGAGCTGGCTGCTTCGCAGCGAATAGCCTAAGAGCCTCGCCACACTAGCATACACTGTACAATTTGTAGTGTTAGGTCACAGCTCCACTAACTCAACATGTAGGACTCCAGTAATATGAAGGACTCCACATTGTCGTAGAATCCCCAGACTGCATCCACCTTTTCTTGTAGTGTCCTCCTCGTCGGTCTACTCATGATGAGCGCCCAAATTCGGAGAGGGAACCTGGAGTCTGAGTGGGCAATCAGGGCTTTCACCTGTCTTTTTGTGCTCTCGAGAGCTGGAGAGTGCAGCTTTTTTGAAGTAAGTGGAGAGATGATGCAGTCTTCGGCTTTTTTTCTTCTTTCTATCCACACGGTCGTAGAATCCCGAGACTGCATCCGCCTTTTCTTGTAGAGTCCTCTTCGTCAGTTTTATCCATGATGAGCGCCCAAAATTTGGAGAGTGAACCTGGAGTCTGGGTGGAAAATGGGAATTAGACATCCCTAATGTGGGGTTGAAGGGGGGGGGAGTAGGGCGAGGTGCAGTCACTGGCCATAGTGTTCAGCACTAGCACCGCCGGTTTCCCCCTTGCCAATCCCTGCCCATCCCCCCATCACCGTGATGAGGGGCTTGTACGTGATGAGCGGCTGGTACAGCATCATTCTCGCACCACCCCCGTGGTGTGGAGCAAACCTACCCCTTGGGCTGAGGAGGGATCCAGTGTGTTCATCCGTACTCTGCGAGTAGCGAGAGGATGAGACGAGGGAAAATGTACATAAAGAGAAAAGAAAACAAAAAAAGAGAGAAAGAGAGAATGAGAAAAACAAAAAAAGAAAGAATATGAGACCGTCGGTATCCCATCCGGCCGTTACAAACAATTACATACATTATGAATCTGAATTGCTTCCGACCGACAGCATGAGGGCATACTCACACTAGCACTATCTTAAATGCATCTGACCGCATTTTAGGCCGAACGGGTATGCATCTGACCGCAATTACATCCCGAATAAGGAAAAAAGTGCTGGTGTGAGTCGGACGAGAGAAAGTACGTGTATGCATCTGACCGCAATTACATCCCGAAATAAGGAAAAAAGTGCGCATTTGATCGGCATCGGACCTCGCTCCACTACTCTCCACATGCGGAAAACGAGTTTGAATCTTCCGCTAGAACATGGAAAGATACGCATCCCAAAAAAAAAAAAAAAACAAAAAAAAAAAGAAGAAAGAAAGATACGCCGCCATAATTTTTGTCTTTTGTGCATGTCGACAGTGGTGAACTGAGGCCAATCTTTTTTTTATATGCGTGTCATCCTTGCGCAGGGCCCATGCTAATCTTCTCTGTATCGTTCCAATATTAACATATGTCCCGAAGGACAGTGGTGAACTGAGGCCAATCGATCCTCCTTTCAAGGAAGAACACAGATAAATAAATTAATTAATTAAAATTAAAAAAAAAACCACACACACAAAAATCAATGCGTACTTTTCTACACAGTAGCCAGTCTTAGGGCATACTCACACTAGGGTCTAATTCTTAAAATCGCAAAATCTGATGTCGTTTTGCAGTCACACTTTCCCCCGACCCCCAGCAAAATCACAAATAGTATAGTATTTGTCAGCGGCCTGCTGGCCCGCTGGGCCTCGGGGTTCAGCAAATTGCGAGGACCTCTAGAGGTCCTCGCAAATTGGCATTTAATAACTCGCTCCCAAACAAATCCACTGGAAAAAAAGGAAGAAAATGCCACTGAAGGTGAATAAGAAAAGGTGATTCGAGGCGCGCTGACAGTAAACCTCTCGGTTACGAATTAGCCTTTTTTCAAAAAAAATTAAAAAATAAAATAAAAACTCTCGGTTACTCCCAACTCCCGCAGCATTTCTCACGTCATCTTTATCTTTAAATATTAATTAGCACCCCTTCCAGTCGAACCGGACGAGTGTGTGTGTGTGTGTGTGTGTGTGTGTGTGTGTGTGTGTGTGTGTGTGTGTGTGTGTGTGTGTAGGTGTGTCTGGAGACTCTCTCTCTCTCTCGCTCGCTCTATGTGTGCGTCTCTCTGGATGTAAAGATAGACACACACACACACACACACACACACACACACACACACACACACACACACAGAGAGAGAGAGAGAGAGAGAGAGAGAGAGAGAGAGAGAGANAGAGAGAGAGAGAGAGAGAGAGAGAGAGAGAGAGAGAGAGAGAGAGAGAGAGAGAGAGATTTCATAACAGCCGCCACAAGGTGATTTTTTAAACTAAAAACAACCTAATCGGATTTTATTTATTATTATTTTTTTTTTTGAACCGTAAATGGAGTTAACTTAGTGGAAAATTAATCTCAATTTCGGGTTTAATTTTAACGTACCCAGAAACCCGTATTTCAAACTAAAGGGGTGACTGAGGAGCAGTTTCCCCAAAACAGAAAAAAGACCGCCACTGTCAGGAAGCGTCCATCGGCGTCCATAGCTGCCTACGTCGGCCTTTCACCTGCATCCATGATACCGATCACACCGAGCTCTCCTATCAGTACCCCACCCATCATCAGCCATCTTTTCTTCCACACTCCATGTACAACAGCCCATCACCGTTCCACCCCCCCTTCTTGTCTCCTCCTCGCTGATCGGCGACAAAGAAGATCCCTCCTCCTCCTTTGCACTGCCAATGTTCCGATACCCTCCTTCACCCCGCCTGGCCGCCATTTATCGTCTTGAACGGCTTTCATGATCGCGTCTTCCCGCGCAAAATAGAACGCGCGGATTAAAGCTAGGTATTTGGGGCACCTTTGAGTCTAGGTACTGACTGCGGTAATGACCGTCCCTCGCCACGTGGTATTGCGTGGACGACCGTAGCGTTGCTCATTCTACCCTCACAGCCTGTCACCACCCCATCTTCTTTCGCTTTTTACAAGCTACGTAGTCATGCAAAAAAAACAGAAGCTACGTAGTCATGCAAAAAAACAAAGGCTACGTAGTCATGCAAAAAAACAAAAGCTACGTAGTCATGCAAAAAAACAAAAGCTACGTAGTCATGCAAAAAACAAAAGCTACTAGTCATGCAAAAAAAAGAGTGCGTGGTCAGAGGTCGCTGCATCGTCGCCACCGGCTTCTCATCTGCATCAGCCATGCGGACGCGATGTCTCAACTCTGAGCCGCCACGGAACTCCATTGTGTGCCGCTCTCTCTCTCTCTCTCTCTCTCTCTCTCTCTCTCTCTCTCTCTCTCTCTCTCTTGTCAACCGATGTTCGCGCTGTTCAGCAGGCCGGCGATGGCGCCAGCTAATGTGCACATAGCCGGCCGAGACTCGTAGTTATCCGCAAGGCATTCGGCTGCCAAGCGCAAAGTCTCCATCACGATGTGCTCAAGGGCAAGTCTCGCCGCCTCATCCCTCAAGCAGGGATCCAGAAAATCGGACAGCATTATGCCTGCTTGGCCCCCATGGCGATTTACAAGAAGAGCCTTTGCCCAGTTCACGAGAGTCAGCCAGCCGACTCCAGACGGTGCGAGCGACACCGCCTTCCTCCCCGTGAGCAGCTCCAGCAGGATCACGCCGAAAGCGTAAACGTCCATCTTCTCGGAGACAATCCCTGACCGCACGTACTCGGGTGCCATGTATCCGAACGTTCCTGCCATATGAGAGCTCTTCACCACCGTCTCGTGTTCTCTCCCAAACACCCTCTCTCCGATGGTAGCGAGGCCGAAATCCGCCACGACGACGCGGAGCTTCTCCCCCGCGCCATCGCCCAGAAGCACGTTGCTGCTCTTTATGTCCCGGTGGATGATCGGAGGGTCAGCTCCATCGTGAAGATAGGCGAGCCCTTTGGCAATCTGGAGGGCGATGCACATCCGCTCGACCAGCGTCAATGCTGGGAGAAGGGGTTTACCGGGAACGGCTTTCTCTCCGTCGTGAAGCCGAGCGTACAGACTGCCACCTGGAAAGTAGGGGTACACAAGGATGGACCTCTTCCCCTCGTCGCAGTACCCGATCAATCTGACGAGATTGGCATGATGGAGTCGACTGAGAGTGTTCACTTCCGCCTCGAACATGCTGCGCTTGGCGGGGGTAAGCTCCCCCGACATCAGCTTGATTGCCACTTGCTGATTTCCGCCGATCAAACCCCAGTAGACGTCACCGAAAGCCCCCCTGTCCCCAATCCGAAGGCTTTGGCGGAATCCATCCGTGCAATGCGAAAGCACTGCGAGCGGAAAGCGCTGCACTTCGACTGGCTTAGGCTCCCCACCCCCACCCCCACCCCCACCCCCGTGCCCGACCCCTCCCGTGCCTTCCCCCCCTGACACACCCCCGGTTGTCGCTATCGCCGTTGTTGGTGGTGGGGGGGTCCCTGTCATTCGTGGAAGAGATTTCGACCTTCCGATGCATACGTCATGCCCCCGGCAGGCTTTGCACGCGAAGTACGCCACGCAGATGACACTGCAAACGAGCGCAAGGCTGGACAGGGGCAACCCCACGACAAGCGCAAGATTGTGAGACTGAGAGGAAGAAGAAGTCTTGGACTGCCTTTTGTCGAGACCTTGCGATTCAGGAGGAGGACTGCTTTCCGTATAAGACTGAGGAGACGGAGAGATGGAGGAGGGGGAGGATAGAGAACTGGGGGGGGAGGAGGAGGGAGAGAGAGACTCTGGGGTAGCAGGAGGAGGAGGAGGAGGAGGAGGAGGAGGAGTTTCGTCTTCTGTCGTCGACGCAGCATGTGCGCAAGCATGCAGTGCCGATCTGTTAAGTTTGAGCGCCCACAAGGCGCCATCGCTGGTGGAAACGTACAAGAGCAGCTCGCCGCCGTATTCATGAAGCGCCACCGCGCGCACGCCTTCGCTAGCGTGTTTGGCGACCGTGACCACTTGGCGCGCAGTGCTGCATGGCGAGTCTAGCTTTAACCAGCGCAGGAGGCCGTTATTGAAGTCGGCGGCAAATACGTTGCAGCCATCGGCAGTCGTGACGGTACCAAGCACCGAGCCGAAGGATGCACTAAGCCCATCGCCATCGTCAGACCCATGCAGCTCAGAGCCTGCGACAAGAGTGGCAGCGGACGACGAGGAGGAGGTCAGCGGATCGATTCCCCACACTCGGTCCCCGAATTCGTCTCGGACATACAAACACCTCCCATCAGCAACGAAACTCTGCCTCCCAAAGTTTGCGTTGAGCATACTCGTAAACTGTCTGACTGTATTCCATTCGCCGGGATTGATGGGGAGTCCCGACTCCCCCACGGCGGCGGAGAGGATCCGACAAGGTACAACTCCATCTGCGAGGAAAAGGTGTGTACTATTCGGGTTCAAGCTAAGGCCGCCATCCACTGGGGAGATGACGGACACTCGGCTGCCATTGCTCGTTGAGATGGACGCCAAGGACGGCGCACTCACTCCGTTTGTCGCCCTAGTCGATACGATAAGGTACGCTTCATTTGCTGTGACATCCATGCCCGAAAGGCTGGCCATTGAAGCGTTGGCATCATTTGAAGCGGTAAGGATGAACCCCCTGGATAAGGCCGGACCTTGAGCTTCGGTATCTGGCCACCAATAGGTGATCAATTCATCCTCCGCGAGGGTTTTCGATCCTTGATGGACCTCTTCCAGATCAGCTTTCCTGATGGAGAAGCGTTGAGGCCTTAATTCATTGTCTATGATACAATACTCATAGAGAATGTAGTAAATCTTAGACGAGTTGGAAACAGTCAATATGTCGTACATCACCGTATAACATAACCTCTGATTGGAATCGTCATTGGGTCCGTATGGGAGAAAGGGATTCACGGGCGATTGCAGGAGCACGATTCCGCCAGAAGTGATTAGTGTGTCATTCAGCAGGGTCAACGTGGAGGAGGACGGCTGCGTCTCTGACAAACCTGGTTCCGTCGACGCCATAGCCAAGCTAGGGTTCGCCTGAAGGAGGCGAGACGACAGTTTACCGTCGGCGGCGGGAGCAGTCGTGGAAGTCGACGCCATAGCCAAGCTAGGCTTAGCCTGAGGGAGCCCCCGAAAAGCTAGTTCACCTCCAGCGGGGCCGGAGGTGGACGTGGGAGAATGGCCCTCGAGGGCGACCGGTCGCCCGCTCTCGGTCGCCCCGGCAGTGCAGATCGCAGACATAATGGCTAACGAAACTGACCACGCAACTAGATGACGAAAGCGAGGAGGAGAGCGGGAGAAGAAGACAGACACGGAAGGGAAATTACACACCTGCCCCTGCCATGCATAGTGGTAGTTCGACCGCTTCAAACACGCCATGAAGTCCACCATAGCCGCCCCTGTCCCCCTAGCCGCCATCGCCGCCATCGCTGCCAAACGAGATAAAGACAGGTGGGCTTATCGAAAGAAGGACATGGCTCAGGCACGCAGAAGGACGAACATCTGTGCAGCTACCGTCGACAGCGAGGGGAGACGACGACGGAGAAACGTAATCGAAGGAAGGACATGGCTACAGACGGGTGCAGAGAGAGAGGGGCAATTACACAATTACCATGCAACATTCAACAGCTCCGCGTAATCGAAGAGAATCGCCTCAAAAAAAAAAAAAAAAAAAAAAAAAAGGGAGAAGAAGAAGAAGAAGAAGAATTACGTACAACTGCACACGTGCGAGCCGACAACCAGAAACAACCGAATCCCCGCCTCGAACACTAGAGATGGTAAGCTGACCAAGTCACCCGTCAGATAAGGACACGTCAGCGTTCGGACCCACCAAAAAAAAACAGAACCCGACTAAACCTTCCTAAGTTTGGACCCATTTCTCCCCGAACGGGGAGGTTGTATGACTTCTCCCAATTGTTTTTTTGTAGAAGAGAGTTCTGTGGGTGGTAGGCAACCCGGGGCAAGGTCCCACTTGCACAGATTACGAGATTCTGACCGTTGATCTGCGCTATCTACGGTCAATATCCCATAATTCGTGTAAGTGGGACCTAGCCCCCGGAAGGAGGACCTACTCCCCGAGGTAGCGATGCTTGCAGGGGTCCCCTGTATAGGCTTAGGAGTAGTACCGGTAGGACGTAGATAGTGAGAGGTGAAAGTGATAGAAGAATATAGAGAAAAAATCATTCTCCACTACTGACAGTTGGTTACGGAGAACAACGGCCAGAAACAGAGAATATAGGCAAATGTTCTTGTTTTTTTTTTTTTTTTTTTTTTTTTTTTTTTTAAGGCGTGATCACAACTGTCTATATTCTTCTCTCAACTTCTGTTTCCTTTGCCTTCCACAACCTACTCCTAAGACTATCTAGAGGGGACCCCTGCAAGCATAGTCTTTCCTCTCTCTGTGAAGGGGAGATTTCATGTTGCCCCTTGCCCCTAATGGTTAGGGTATAGGGTTGGGGCCGCCAGTGGGGGTCTGGCTAACACAAAGACCGAGACCTGCCAGTAGCTGTGCCTCCCTTTCTCATG